CCCCATCAGCTAATGGTGAGTTCTGTTGATCTAGGCCGAGTCTAGTCCGTCTTTTGTAGGGATAGATTTAACCCTTTCTTTGCCATGATTTCTTGTCAATTCTGCTTTAGTCCATAGGCCCCAAACATATTTTTTTTAAATCTCCCTAATTTCATGAAAAATCCCCAATACTGCCCAGCGCCACCTATGCCCAGTGCTACCTATGCCCAGTGCCACCTATCCCCAGCGCCACCTATGCCCCAGCGCCACCAATCCCCCAGCGCCACCTTTCCCCCAGCGCCACCTATGCCCAGTGTCACCTATGCCCAGTGCCACCTACGTTAAATGATGATCTGTAATCAATAAACACCTGTGAAATACGTTATTACATAAAACCCTGTCCAAAAAGCTTTTGTTGTAGTTGACAACGTTCTAAATACTTTGACATCAAATACCATTATAAACGGGAAAACAGATCAGCCTAAAGAATTAAAAAATATTAATATTTGCTTGTCTGTTTTATTCTTAGAGTAATGGTATGCGTGATAAATACAAACATAATCAAGTTTTCCTAGTTTTTCTTGGGATTTCATTTATTTTTTTAAATAGAAGTGTTCAAAAAATATTTCTTTACATACTTGTTCAGTTATAAATTCCCATGCTGATCAAAATATTTAATTTGTTTAGATATCAATTCCCAAATGGACCAAAAGTGTTGCATTGTTGAGTTATGAATTCCCAAACAGGCCATAATGTTTGCATCGTTGAGTTATTAATTCCAAAAGGGAACATAATTCTTGCACTGTTGAGTTATTTATTCCCAAACAGACAAATATTCTTCCACTGTCGAGCTATTAAGTCCTAAATGGACCAAAAATCTTGCACTGTTAAGTTATTAATTCCCAAAAATTCTTGCACTGTTGAGTTCCTATTTCCCCAACAGATCAAAAGTTCCAGGGCGCCCCAAGGTTCATCATAACACCACGTAACCAGAGAATCATCATCAACGAGACTGCCTATCTGCACTGTGTGGCTGTGGGCAGGGACAAACAGGGGAATCCCCCAATCATATCTTGGTTGAAAGATGGGAGCACGATTGTATTTGGGTCAGTATGCATATCTATCTGCTATCTGTCTAAGCAATTTACCCCATCTACTCTCTAAGCACTCCACAAGTTTCTACTCTCTGAGTACTCCACAGGTATCTACTCTCAAAGCACTCCACAGGTAACTACTCTCTAAGCACTCCACAAGTATCTACTCTCTAAGCACTCTACAAGTTTCTACTCTACACACTCCCTAAGTTTCTACTCTCTGAGCACTCCACAAGTTTCTACTCTCTAAGCACTCCACAAGTTTCTACTCTCTAAGCACTCCCTAAGTTTCTACTCTCTGAGCACTCCACAAGTTTTTACTCTCTAAGCACTCCACAAGTTTCTACTTTCTAAGCACTCCACAAGTTTCTACTCTCTAAGCACTCCACAAGTTTCTACTCTCTAAGAAATGATCACTTATCTAATTTCTAAACAATCCACATTTATAAACTTTCTCACCATTTCAATGGTATCTACTCTCTTAGCACTTCTCAGGTGACTTCTTTCAAAATACTTCCGATCTTTCCTGATTAAGCATTACACAAGTTTCTTTTCCCTAAACAACTGCCCAATCGCCTCACTAAACACTATTGAGATATCTACTGTCTCAGCACTCAACAGACATCTCCTTGGAAGCATTGTGTTTTATTGAGTCCTTTCAAATCTCTACTGTTTGAGCTCAATAAGCTTTGTATAGGATAATCCATTGAATTCATTCTGAGCACCACTTCTGCGCGTCTACTTTTAGAGGTAGGCTTTTATCAATTTACTACAGCGAATATCTATTCTAGAATGTCAACATATAGAAGGCTATAACATTTCTGGATGCTCAAGAACAACACAGCTGGTTTATTAAGTGATTGTTGGGTGGGGTCTGGCTTATAGGTGGATGGGTGTCTGGCTTATAGGTGGGTGGGTGTCTGGCTTATAGGTAGATGGGTGTTTGGCTTATAGGTAGGTGGGGGTCTGGCTTATAGGTAGGTGAGGTCTGGTTTATAGGTAGGTGGGGGTCTTGCTTATAGGTAGGTGGGGGTCTTGCTTATAGGTAGGTGGGGGTCTGGCTTATAGGTAACTAACCGCGATGTACATTTCGTTTACTTGCATGAATAATTTTATTTTTTTTTGAAAAACAACGTCAGAGTTGAGTTTGCACTCCCATCTTGCTTATCAATGTTTGGGGTATCTGTTTCTATTTGTTCTAATTATCATAAATATTTTTTTAAGCGCTTCAGATCATCTAAATATATTTAAAAAACCACTTGTAATAGTCTACGTGTGCCAGCCTTTCATGACCACTAAACTGTATGTTTCAATCATTGAGTCATGTTGCCACCAAACCACCACTGGAAGCTCAGGTTGATCACAGTTTAAGATACATTTGGATTATCAGTCATTCAGAGACCCAACCCAGGCCACCTCTTTAAGCCCACCCTGATCCGTGGTTGAGAACCACAAATAACCATCGGAAACACAGCATAACATGCCACCCCCTTAGCGCCTCTGTGTGGGGCAAGGGAAGTGCAGAAATTGGTCCCTGGTCTCTTTATGAGGCTGCTGACATTTTGGATTGCACCATGTGCTTGGCAGATAGCCTGGCAGACAGCCTGGCAGGGGGGTGCTGCTCAAAGTTTCCTGGTGAAAAATACAACTTGACTTATTGTGGGTTTGTCGGTAGATCCTCTATACCAATGTATCTTTTAGTAGTGTCTACGTTCAGATAAGTGCATAGAATCTGTTTAAATATAAAGTTGAGTTCCAATGTTCAATATGCAAGTCAATTCTAGTAAATCATTAACTCAAAGTTAAAAAATTGTTTAATGGCAAAATGGAACATGACATTGTCTTCAGTTACAGAAATTTAAGAATAATATTTTTTTTTAAAATTAATAAAGCAACCTAAAATAAGATATATGTTAAGCTTCTTTCAAGTAGCCTTTTTTGAAAGAGAGACTTACGTCAATAGAGATGGCGTGCGCATGAGATTGAATTATTGCTCAATGGAATACAAAGACCTGGAGAAACTAAGGCCAGCAATCCTGGATGTCATATTTCATCAGGAAATCACACATTTTGGAATATTGCCTTTGAGTCATGTGATTAGACAAATTTCAGCTGTTCACCTTTTAAAATGGTGTGCCGGTTGTGCCACCAGCTTCCGGTGTATAAAATGTGTCAAAATGAAGGTAGTTAAAAGTGAATGTATGATACAACTGGCTGATGTTCCCATGGATTGAGGATGCCTTGGTGCACAGGCAAAGGTTAAACCAGCTTCACACATTTTTTCTTTATAAATTGAAAAAGAGAGAGTTAGCAGGGCAAAGGGGAAATGTATTTATCATTAGAAATATTGAATAATACTGTGTTGAAAGAATATATATGTTACGGCCTAAGCCAGAAGTTTAGCAGGTCGCCACATTGGCCAGCCAGTTCCCACGCCGCTGGAGAGGTGTGGCAAGCATCCCATGTACCGTACTTGAAATGACCAGTGTATCTGCTATTTTGGCACGCGATTTTGCAAAGTGACAGGAAATACCTGTCAAAACTTGATTTGAAGTTAGCATAAATAGAATGTGGTGTTCTCATACAACGCCTTTTCCAGAAGTGAATTTTCCATTCTGCATATGAAACTTCTCACACCTGAAACTATGAGTAAAGAAGCAAAAATTACTATGAACCTGGCCATTTCGCAATCTGGCCGGACAAATAACAAAATCACGAAAATATCGGGCTTGGTCTGTCAATTTTAAACAGCCTTTGACAGTAACACATCTATAGAGAGATATATGTATTTATTAAAATAAGTAAAATGATTGAAGTTGAAATGTTTATGTTTGAAGAGCCTAGGTAATCTCTGAGTGTTGCATATTAATTCAAGTGCAGTAGAAGTAAAGGTAGTGGGGGTTGGGGGGGGGGAAGTTGTGTTCTGGCTTGGCAATCTTTTCAAGGAAAATATGTAACACAAAGTGAAAGGAAAAGAATTAAAGTTTAATCTATAAATCTTTAAAATTTGATGTAAAGCTGTCACAGTATGAAGAAAATATGTCACAGTATGAAGTAATCTACAGTGTCATACTACATATCTTGTCACACCATGATTTAAAACTGTCAAAATATGATGTAAAGCTGTCACAGTATGATGTAAAGATGTCACAGTATGAAGTAAAGATGTCACAGTATGAAGTAAAGATGTCACAGTATGATGTATAGATGTCACAGTATGATGTATAGATGTCACACCATGATTTAAAACTGTCAAAATATGATGTAAAGCTGTCACAGTATGATGTAAAGATGTCACAGTATGAAGTAAAGATGTCACAGTATGATGTATAGATGTCACACCATGATTTAAAACTGTCAAAATATGATGTAAAGCAGTCACAGTATGATGTAAAGATGTCACAGTATGATGTAAAGATGTTACAGTATGAAGTAAAGATGTCACAGTATGAAGTAAAGATGTCACAGTATGATGTGAAGATGTCACAGTATGAAGTAAAGATGTCACAGTATGAAGTAAAGATGTCACAGTATGAAGTAAAGATGTCACAGTATGAAGTAAAGATGTCACAGTATGAAGTAAAGATGTCACAGTATGATGTATAGATGTCACACCATGATTTAAAACTGTCAAAATATGATGTAAAGCTGTCACAGTATGATGTAAAGATGTTACAGTATGATGTAAAGCTGTCATAGTATGATGAAAAGATGTCACAGAATGATTTAAAACTGTCAAAATAGGATGTAAGGATGTCTTAATGTATGGAAAGATGTCAAAATATGATGGAAAGATGTCACACTATGATGTAAGCGGTCACAAGCTAGCAATTTTCTGGTTCAGAAAAACAAGTCCCCCCACTCTGGTTGTTGCTGTAGGCTTTTGCCAGAGCATTAGAATAAGTAACCCTTGTATTTGTCTCCACAGGAAAAACAGCAGCCACATACAGGTGGTAGGGTCCGGGACGTTGGTCATCTCCAAGGTCAATGAGGTGGACTCTGGTGTCTACACTTGTAGGGCGGTCAACTCTGATGACTCGGTGGATGCTGACGCCACACTCAAAGTATTGGGTGAGCAATGTCTTGTGTTGAGCAATGTCTTGTGTTGAACAATGTCTTGTGTTGAGCAATGTCTTGTGTTGGGGTGAGATTTGACCCTCCAAACTCCCCTCTCTGACACACCGACGTCATAATTAATGGGCGTCTTGTTTGTTCCGGTGTTTACACAAACTTTTTTAACAAACATTACCCCACTTACACATTCCTGTTTTAATACTGTTTGGGCCGAGGTCAGTCCCTGCAGCCTAATAAAAAAGAAAATCTCACCTTTGTTTTTTAATACTTCTAATGGTGAAATGACTCATTAAATTATTCTGTCTCAACAGGTTTTCAGAGGTGTGTCATAATAAATGAAGGCTATTAGAGTTTAAATGGTCGTACCCATATTAAAATTAATATTATCTAGTAATAGTAATAATAATAATTTGGATGCAGCTAATCAATATGGCAGAAGATATTTTTTTCCAGCTCACTCATCTTAATCTAGATATCACTACAATATTGTTCTTTTTTTTATCATATTAAAATGTTTCTATCAACAGTCCCGCCCAGCTTTATGCAAATACCTAAAAGCACATACGCCCACAAACATTCCGACGTGAACTTTGACTGCGAGGCCTACGGCATCCCTCGCCCAGCGATCTACTGGATGAAGAACGGGGAGCTCCTCAAACCAAGCGACTACTTCCAGGTCTCGCCAGAAGGCAGCTTGAGAATCCTCGGCCTGGTCGACTCGGACCAGGGAATATACCAGTGCTTTGCCGAGAACGAGCTGGGAGAAATACAGGCGGCGGCGCAGCTTCTGGTCGTCAACGAAGGTGGGTGCGCTTGATGTGACGGGGTTCTTTGTTTGCAACCTACAGCCGTGGTAGAATCTTAGTGCAGAAAAGTGATGTTAATGTTGTTGTTTTAGTAGGAAAGTAGACTAGTTAATTGGATGATAAAACTTGACTAGGACAGCACCAAGGGTTAGATATGAGGTTTGAAGATTCGTTATTACAGTTATTCATTAACGTGTGGCAAAACAAAGGTTAAGTCATTTGAAGGAATAAAAAAAGTTTGAAACTAGTTTTATAACAAAAAACTGAAGTTTCTACAGTATTCTTAAATGTTTAAATAAAATTACTTTATCTCAATAGTAAGGAACAATGTCCCTTTTTGGCAGTGCGCTCACATGAGATATGTGTTGAACCAGCACTTCCACAAAAAATTTAACATAATCTTGATTAATGATGATTATTAATTTCATTAATTTTTTTAATCATTATTGTTATTATTATTAGTGCACAGCCTAGGGCTGGGCTCACCGCGCTGTACATAAAAATATTAGCAAAAGAGACATAATCTTGACATTAAAATAACATACATTTATGTAACAAAGAACAGCTGTATAAGAGCAAAACAAAAACAAATGTATATTCAACCCACCCACCCCAGAACTTTTACATCCAACCTGTAAAGTGTAAAAAAAAAGGGGTTTTTTTTGATTTTTTTTAAAGTACAGTTATATTGGTTCAAACCAAAGTACAGTTATATTGGTGCAAACCAAAGTACAGTTATAGTGGTGCAAACCAAAGTACAGTTATAGTGGTTCAAACCAAAGTACAGTTATATTGGTGCAAACCAAAGTACAGTTATAGTGGTTCAAACCAAAGTACAGTTATATTGGTTCAAACCAAAGTACAGTTATATTGGTTCAAACCAAAGTACAGTTATATTGGTTCAAACCAAAGTACAGTTATAGTGGTTCAAACCAAAGCACAGTTATATTGGTTCAAACCAAAGTACAGTTATATTGGTAAAGTACAGTTATATTGGTGCAAACCAAAGCACAGTTAAATTGGTTCAAACCAAAGTACATTTATAGTGGTTCAAACCAAAGTACAGTTATATTGGTTCAAACCAAAGTACAGTTATATAGGCAAAGTACAGTTATATTGGTGCAAACCAAAGTACAGTTATATTGGTTCAAAGTACAGTTATATTGGTGCAAACCAAAGTACAGTTATATTGGTTCAAACCAAAGTACAGTTATAATGGTGCAAACCAAAGTACAGTTATAGTGGTTCAAACCAAAGTACAGTTATATTGGTGCAAACCAAAGTACAGTTATAGTGGTTCAAACCAAAGTACAGTTATATTGGTTCAAACCAAAGTACAGTTATATTGGTTCAAACCAAAGTACAGTTATAGTGGTTCAAACCAAAGCACAGTTATATTGGTTCAAACCAAAGTACAGTTATATTGGTAAAGTACAGTTATAGTGGTTCAAACCAAAGTACAGTTATATTGGTTCAAACCAAAGTACAGTTATATTGGTTCAAACCAAAGTACAGTTATAGTGGTTCAAACCAAAGTACAGTTATATTGGTTCAAACCAAAGTACAGTTATATAGGCAAAGTACAGTTATATTGGTGCAAACCAAAGTACAGTTATATTGGTGCAAACCAAAGCACAGTTAAATTGGTTCAAACCAAAGTACAGTTAAATTGGTTCAAACCAAAGTACAGTTAAATTGGTTTAAACCAGAGTACAGTTATATTGGTTCAAACCAAAGTACAGTTATATTGGTTCAAACCAAAGTACAGTTATATTGGTGCAAACCAAAGCACAGTTAAATTGGTTCAAACCAATGTACAGTTATATTGATTCAAACCAAAGTACAGTTATATTGGTTTAAACCAAAGTACAGTTAAATTGGTTTAAACCAGAGTACAGTTATATTGGTTCAAACCAAAGTACAGTTGTATTGGTTCAAACCATGACTGTGCAAAGATTATGCTTAAAAAAACAACCTTGCTAACCGGAAGTCTCCATGTCACTTGATCATGTTTTTGGTCTAACGAGCTTTCTGGCTAGTGGACAGATGCCCGTGATAAAGTCTGTGGACCCTATCTGACCTATCTCTTAGCTGAAACTTCAGTTTTTATAACGCAACAACTATTCTTCTAGAACTCACAATAAAAAACTCACTGTTACAGTAAAGCTGCTAACATTTCAATCTCATGTATAGATTAGATTAAAAAGCCTTTAGAGAAAAGTGTTAAAGTTTTAATTCCCTACCAGATCAAAATAATTTGTTAAAAAGATCCCCCTTCCCCCCTTTTTCCTTTTTGTGTGTGTTTTATTTATTTATTTCAGTTTATATAAATCTTTAAATGCTTTTTCTTTGGGGCATGATCCATTTCATTTGTGTTTGGTGTTAGATTTGTGCCTCACCAACAAATTTATCAGTTCTCAAGCTATGATCTTTGTGGTCTATTTATGTGGTGTGATTTTTTAAATTGGTTTTTCGCATGATGGTACCAAACATTGAACACACAGCAGGGCTCTTTTGTTCTGTTAAAAAAGTCTATGTTGGGGAAACTATTTTTTTAATTTGGCATTAAAATTAGTAAACAACTGATGTGTTGTACATGTTAGTAAATTAATGGGAGAAATAGGGCAAGCAGTCTCGGGGTGGTCATAATTATTTGTAACCATAAACACATTTAGGGGTAAAAATACAAACTTAATGTTTCAGTAACCCCCCCCCCCGATTCAAAGAACACCCCACCCCCCCACACACACACACCTTTTTTAAAAGTATCCCAGTCTCATCATTGTGACACCATAGTTTTAAAATAACGTCCATGTCATTTGAAAGGGTTGTGGGGAGGCAGGGGTACATTGGCGCCATCATCTTTGACTGCCCAGTTTGCCCTAATAGGGTTGTAAAGCCATTGCTTCTAAATGTGTGACTTAAAGCTTTACCACTAATAAATGGCAGTCAACTTTAAAAGTTGCATTACTGTTATGGCACTGTTCTTATTTTGCGAAACATCTTGATCATTTCATTTCCATATTTGTTGATGTGATTAAATACTTTTGATGACAAAAGCATGTGCTATATAGACATTTTGTGTTATTGACTGACATGAATTTTGTTGGGTTTTTCCCTAATTTCAGTTGCTTTATGAATTTTTTTTTTCTTCTTTTTTTTTTTTTATTTTTTCTGTTTCTTTTTTTTTGGGTTTTTCCCTAATTTCAGTTGCTTTATGAATTTTTTTTTTCTTCTTTTTTTTTTTTTCGTTTCTGTTTCCCCACCCAACTCCTATGGTCCAACTCCTATTTATTGTTAAATACCCCTTTACCATTTGTTTAAATTCTACCTTGCACCTGTTCTGTGTTCACACCAAAAATTTAAAAACAAAAATTATTTAAAAACCACATTTTTTAAACAAAACTTCCGATAAATTTGTTTAAAATATGTAATTGATGCCATCTCTTTGGGTTTTTTCAATGAACTTTCTTGTTCCCAACCCATTGTGTACTGTTAATCAATCACTCTGCATTCAATTCACCGCTGCATTATGGCGCACCCTGGTACCACCTTACAATAATAATACGCTTGTTGTGTGTGTGTGCTTCTCATTTTCACTGTTAACCACATCAATCAACGTTGTTGATTTTTAACCATTTAATTTCAATGTCATTTTTTAAAAATGTTTTTGTTTAAATTTTTAACAAAAATTAATTACCTGTTTAATTTTAACAAATATTTTAAATGGCCTTTTAAAAAAAAAATCAATTTACTTTTTTTCTTCATTTATTTAAATTGATGGATCAATTTGCTTGAAATAAAATAAATGAATCTTTAAATTAACTTTTCACTGCACACTTGCACACACAATACTTGGATTTATTTTTTTTAAAATTTCATACTTCCTTTTTTAATTCCTTTATAACAATATTTTTTTTAAAAACGTAATGAATATCTACCATAAAAATAAAATAAATGAATCTTTAAATTAACTTTTCACTGCACACTTGCACACACAATACTTGGATTTATTTTTTTTAAATTTCATACTTCCTTTTTTAATTCCTTTATAACAATAATTTTTAAAACGCAATGAATATCTACCATAAAAATTTAAAAAAAAAACACAATGTTTTCTAAAATGTCAAAACATTTGTTGGCAATGTTAAAACATTTGTTGGCAATGTTAAAAACACCCAGCCCTTCCGCTCCCCTCCACCGCCTACTCCCACCCCTATGCCTTGCCAGCAGGTGCCCTGTACTCGGAGTCTCACTCCAAGGCGCCGGTGCCCACGAACCTCCGGACAGCGCTGGTCTCCATACGTTTTGTCACCATTACCTGGGATCTCCCCAACGTGCCGGCAGCCAAGGACATTACGTCTTTTTCTGTGTTTTGGAGAGAAGTTGGTTCAGAGAGGTGAGTTGAAAGAGATGCTTGCCATTTTTGGTGGCTTCTTTAGCATTTATTAATGTTTGCTGAATAAATTTGGATTAGAAATGGTGTTTCTAAATCAATCTATGACATTAAAAAAACAACAGTACATCAGAATAATAAATATAGAGCTACTTTTTGGTGTAAGTTGATATTTATTTATTTTTTTAAAGAGTTTACCCTAGACTTTCGCACAACACTTTATAAAACTAATGTAATTTATTGAATAGTAAAAAAAAAAATTTAAGCAAAAAGTATATTCAGAATACATGAGTAATGAAAATCTAATATTTGAAGTTACATGCTTGCATAATGTTCACAGATATTATAAAGATGTGCAGCTCTAAATTGGGCTTAGGAAAAAAATCAACCCTGTGGTTCAGGGAAAAAAAATCATCTTGATCTGTATAATTCTCTGGTTCAATGTTATATACACATAACAGTTCCCTCTGCCATTTCATTTTTTAAAATAATGTTTATACTTTACAACCTTATTCCAGACCTGTTTGCTCTTACAATTTGGCGTACAATGTACGATTTTGAGGTGTATACATTATATTCATTATATAAACTTTATTTTTATTTTTTTGCTATTAAGATAATGTATTGAATGATTTTTGTGATTATATTGTATGGTTTTAAGAGTTTGAGGGTAAACAGGTCTGTTATACCACAGTAACCTGCTTCAATGACCCCTCCTTCTTTCTCTCCCCTCTGCCCTCCCCTTTTTCCTGAATATTGCATTTCTAACAACGAGATTGTTATAAGAACTCTGTGTGTGTTTTCAGAGAACGTGTCAGCAACACCACATTACGGGAGTTCAACATTCAAGGTCTGAAGCCAAGGACAGAGTATGAGATTCGTGTACGCGCGTACAACAACCAGGGTCCCAGCCAGAGGGAGGCCAAGATAAATGTAGTCACGGGAGAAGATGGTAGTCTATGTTTTAAATAATGAAGAGTTTAATTTAACTTTGGAAGATTTTTGTTTACATTTCAGTTTAAATCTAAGGTTGTGTCTGTACTATAGGCAAGGGTATTTAATCATTAACACTGTCTATAAGAATCTTTTTTTTATTTTTAAATCTTTATTTTTCGCACATATTGAGCACAGCATTACAGCCTTACATACATACCTAGAGAATTATCATTTGTGATTGAACGAAGAAAATATTTATTCTTATTATTAATTATTGGTTTGTTAACTAAGAATAGAGGTTTTTATAAATAATTAATTATTGGTTTTTATACTCATAATATAAGCATTCATATAATTAATTATTGGTAGTGTACTCAGAAGATAGGTTTCCTTATAATGAACTAATGCTTAATGATTTAATGAACCATCATTGGTGGTATTGTATAAAACTAACACCTGGTTTCTGTGCAGTGCTGGTGCCCAGCCCGCCAACCAACCTGCAAGCCACAACACTCTCATCTACCAGTATCATGGTGAAGTGGGATCCACCCCTGGAACCCAAAGGGACAGTCAGGTCTTACACTCTCATTTCTTACAAGGTAAATGTGTAAGTTTAACACAAGATAACTATTAATGCAAGATAATTGTTAAAAATTTGTGCATGTTTGATTTTACATAATTGTACACTTGTAACTTTTGTTGATTATTAATTCTTAATTTTAGGTAATTTGATATAGAATATTCATTACAAAGTCATGGAACTGAATAGTTGTAACTCAATACACCTATTTTATTTGTTACTCAATACACCTAATTTAGTTGTTATTCAATACACCTATTTTTAGTTGTAGCTTATTAAACTTAGCATTAGTTGTCCCCCATTGCACCTCTATGCAACCTGACCACTCATATAAACTACATTGGTTGAAACCCAATACACCGACATGCAAACCTGTTTACTCTTACAATTTTGGTGCACAATGTACAATTTTGGTGCACAATGTACAATTTTGAGATGTCCTTTAGGATTATACATCAAGACCTGTGAGAACTACGATTTTAAGAGACCGTGCTGAAAGTATTAAGTCCACTGAAATATGACAGCCACGTTTTCATAATGAAGTGGTCCTATTGTTGCTTTTTTGTTTTCCATAATGAACTCGCTAGACATGTCAACAGTAATGTTAGAGTAATAGCCCCAATGACACTTTTAGTCAATTCTCACTTTTGTCTGCTTTGGTGCTTTATGACTAAACTCTATGACATAATGCTCTACCAGATCACCCAAAAATGCATTGATATCTATAGCAGATACATGTATGCAAAACTTAGGGCTGCGGACTGCAATATAAATGACAGTTCTCTACTTTTTTTTTTTAAACTCGATCCTACCGAGCAAGTGATACGAATAGTTATTGTATACGTTATAAATACTGTATGTATATTTATTTACTATTAAGATGGTGTGTTGTGGCAATTTTGAGATGACGTACAACTTTAGGAGTTTGACGGCAGGCGGGTCTGCTTATACGTAGCCTGAGCACTCATTCAACCTATAGTTAGCTGCCACCCAATACAGCTTGATCTAGCTTTACCATTCATGCACAACATGCAACATAATCAGTCATCCACATTTATGCATGCAGCTCCATTGAACCTATGATGGTTGCATGCCAATTATGGAATGAATATTTTATTGCTATTTCATTTCTTTGATTTAGGTGGGTTCAAAGACTGAAGATGAATTAACATTAACGGAAACCACAAGCACCTTGAAAAATTTACAAAGTTTCAGTAAGTAAACTAATTGCTCCTTATTTGCCAATTAGTATAATTTATTTGCCAGTTAGTATAAATGAACTCTCTTAAGTATGGAAACTCCTGATTGTCTTTTAGGATAAAGATAGCGAAAAATTTCTAGCGGCCCCTGTTTTTTGTGCCTGGACCAAGCCAATAAAAAAAAAAAGTAGCAGTGAGCAAAGAGTCTACCTACCTTACCTAGATGCCTGATGTGTAAAAGAAAAAGAAGATACAATTCATTACTTCTTTGCTAAACGCAAACACATTTCGACTTCCAAGTTAATTAAATCTTAAAAAATATTCAATTTTATCCAAAAAAAATCTCGCTGTTAAGTCATTGCATTGGGATGATCTTTCCAGGAGAGTACAGTTTCCGTGTTGTGGCGCTTAATGAAAATGGACCAGGTACAAGTACACCCGAGGTCCTGGCCAGGACGTACTCTGACATACCGTCGGACGTGCCTCAAAACTTTACAGTGGAAGTTTCCAGTTCAACGGTCAGTGGCTGTTTGTTAACATGTTTGCATTGGTTGCTTGACCCGTACATAATAATTTTAATAAGAAAGTCACGCTGGCCAAAGAGGGTTTATAGCTACAAAATTATTTAAACTCTTTCTTTTGTTAGACAGTACTCTGATCAATAAATTATTACTCTGATCAGTAAATTTTTACTCTGATCAATAAATTATTACTCTGATCAATAAATTATTACTCTGATCAATAAATTATTATTCTGATCAATAAATTATTACTCTGATCTGATCAATAAATTATCACTCTGATCAATAAATTATTACTCTGATCAATAAATTATTACTCTGATCAATAAATTATTATTCTGATCAATAAATTATTACTCTGATCTGATCAATAAATTATCACTCTGATCAATAAATTATTACTCTGATCAATAAATTATTACTCTGATCAATAAATTTTTACTCTGATCAATAAATTATTACTCTGATCAATAAATTATTACTCTGATCAATAAATTATCACTCTGATCAATAAATTATTACTATCATCAATAAATTATTACTCTACTCTGATCAATAAATTATTTTTTTCAGCTGCATTTACAAACAAAAATAATTTGAAGTGATAAGCTGAAAAATATAATCTAACAAATAAAACACAATCTAACTAATAAATGTTCACTCATGGTTAAAAAAAAAACAACATTGCTACTTCATAAACTTCATAAACCCACCCTGTTCTCCTACCACCTATTCCATCAAAAATTGGGGCTTTAGGGAGTGTATAGCCCCCAGAAACACGAGAACTAAAGCTTTGATTCAAAGTAAAGTAAAACTGGGACTTGACAGGTAGATAAGGAGATACTAAATATCGGAGTTAGAGACACATTGCAAGAGGCCGGAAGTCAATGAGTTTACTGGGAGTTTACAAAGGAAAGAAGAAGAAAGACAAAAAGTTGGACTTGTGTTTTACACGTTTTTTACTATTTGTTGTTTGCAATGTCCAGAGTTTGATTGTGAGGTGGCAGCCTCCACCTGAGAATGCACAGAACGGAATCATCACCGGGTACAAGATCAGGGCCAGGCGAAAAGGAGCTGAGAGCAAATATGCCGAGACTTTAATCACAGACGGTCACAGAAATACGTACGCCATATTAGGTTAGTTACCCCCCCATGTATGTGGGACACTGAAAAGATTAGACTTTTGGACCTCTATGTTATTTGCCAACTTCTTGGTGTGTACCATGTGTGACACTGACAAAAATGAGACCTTTGGCCTTCAATTTTATTTGCTAACCTTCTTGCTGTATACAATGTGGTCACATTCAGCAATGATTTTTATGACATAGTTGTCTATTTCATGCTATTTTGACCCTAAACATATCTATCTCCAGGTCTAAGGGAGGGAACTGAGTACCAAGTCAGGATATCGGCAATGACTATAAATGGCTCTGGTCCAGCAACTCCGTGGGAGGTGGCAACAACTTACAAGGAGGACCTTCAAGGCAAGTTATTCATGTGAACCCTAATTTAAGTTTCATTTCTCATTTTTACCACTGCACTCAACAGTGAAAATGCCACAGAATATTTTTACCACTGCACTCCACAGTGAAAATGCCACAGAATATTTTTACCACTGCACTCCACAGTGAAAATGCCACAGAATATTTTTACCACTGCACTCCACAGTGAAAATGCCACAGAATATTTTTACCACTGCATTCCACAGTGAAAATGCCACAGAATATTTTTACCACTGCATTCCACAGTGAAAATGCCACAGAATATTTTTACCACTGCATTCCACAGTGAAAATGCCACAGAATATTTTACCACTGCATTCCACAGTGAAAATGCCACAGAATATTTTTACCACTGCATTCCACAGTGAAAATGCCACAGAATATTTTTACCACTGCACTCCACAGTGAAAATGCCACAGAATATTTTTACCACTGCACTCCACAGTGAAAATGCCACAGAATATTTTTACCACTGCATTCCACAGTGAAAATGCCACAGAATATTTTTACCACTGCATTACACAGTGAAAATGCCACAGAATATTTTTACCACTGCATTCCACAGTGAAAATGCCACAGAACATTTTTACCACTGCACTCCACAGTGAAAATGCCACAGAATATTTTTACCACTGCATTCCACAGTGAAAATGCCACAGAATATTTTTACCACTGCATTCCACAGTGAAAATGCCACAGAATATTTTTACCACTGGACTCCACAGTGAAAATGCCACAGAATATTTTTACCACTGCACTCCACAGTGAAAATTCCACAGAATATTTTTACCACTGCATTCCACAGTGAAAATGCCACAGAATATTTTTACCACTGCACTCCACAGTGAAAATGCCACAGAATATTTTTACCACTGCATTCCACAGTGATAATGCCACAGAATATTTTTACCACTGCATTCCACAGTGAAAATGCCACAGAATATTTTTACCACTGCATTCCACAGTGAAAATGCCACAGAATATTTTTACCACTGCATTCCACAGTGAAAATGCCACAGAATATTTTTACCACTGCATTCCACAGTGAAAATGCTACAAAACATATGCTAAAAGTGATTTTTTTAAAAATTAGTTTGTTTGTTGAAATAATTTTTTTTGCCTTGTCCTTAATTACAATACGAAGTAATTTTAAAAACAACTTAGTTACTTGATGTTTTCTTTATAAAACCTATTGAGCAATCCATCCACAAGTACAAACAATGAACATTTATTGGGAATCATTTTATGCTGTGTCTGTACAAATTATTAGACCCTTCTGATTTGCTGTTTTGATTTTGTTTACACCAATCTTTGTCCTGGCAGAGTCTGAAGTCCCAGGTCAACCTGCCCACCTTTACGCCCAGCCAAAAGCCAACTCTATCATTGTCTCCTGGGCCCCACCTTCACCCCACAGCAAGATTTTGGTCCGAGGCTATGTGCTTGGCTATGGGAAAGGCATTGATGATGTATTCAAACATTCATTGGATTCCAATACGCATGACTATCACATAAAAAATTTGCGTGAGTCTTAACCCATAGTTATCAAAGTTTTTTCTTTTTAATTATAATTATTCTTTTTCCTGATTCTCGGCAACCATTTGAATGTTGATAAAGGATTTATTCAAAAACTGTTTAAATTGTGGGAGGTTGAAAAAAATTCACTTCAAAATAATACAATTCATTTAATATAATTAAGGCACTATCAAAATCAAAAACCAATCATCATTTTTAATACCAATAATTGTAAATCTCAGTTGGGCAGTAAGTTGTTTTTTTTTTTTATGTTGTCAATAAGGCTTAATCCAGACCTGTTTACCCTCAAATTCTTAAAATCGTACAATATCATCACAAAATCGTTTAATACATTATCTTAATAGGAAAAAAATAAACATACAGTATAGATAATGTGTACACCTCAAAATCGTAAATTGTACGCCAATCCAAAATCGTAAGAGTAAACAGGTCTGTTAATCATACAGTCAAACCTCTATGAGGCTGTCTTAAACCTCATTTTTTTTACTATATTTACCTCTTAACAATAGTGCTAACATTTATTAAATAATTCTGTGAAATCTTGTTATAGGTCAAATATTCAAGAAACCTTTTAAAGCTTATATGCAACACTAGGGTCAAACTTTTGTAGCAAATCTTAATGTTGAACTAAAATTATTGGTCATTACACACATAAACTGATGAAATTAGTTTTTTAACTTGATATTTATATGAGTTTGTTATGTTGCCCTTTCAGAGCCTAATTCACAGTATGTGATCACAATTCGAGCATTTAACAACAAAGGTCAAGGTCCCAGCAGATATGAGACAGTCAATACACCAGAAGATATGGGTAATTTTTTCGTCCTCCTATTTTTACTACCTTAATTTTTCTCCATTATTTCTCCATTATAAAATGTTTGTGAAGATTTTATTATTAACATTAATGCAAAATGTGACCTAGTCTTTTTTTTAACCCTGGAGGTCTGTTCATTAGCCTATGAAGTCTGTGTATATTTCTTCTTCCAGAGATGGAGCCTGCCACGCCCATGCTGCCTCCAGTGGGGCTCAACGCGCACGTGTTGTCCGCTTTCACAATCATACTGACGTGGGCAGACAATTCACTCAGCAAGAATCAGAAGATCACAGACAACCGTTACTACACCATCAAGTACAGGCAGGTCAATGTCAGGGGAAGTAAATTCAGGTAAAAACACTCATTTGGTTGTCTTCTCATGTCTGGCCAGTTTCTCCCCTAGTAACCCCTTCCTATGTAATAAAACCAGGGACAAATTTGACATGTAGTAGTACCCGTACTTTTAGACAGCATCAGAGCTCAGGAGGATAGCGACAACAACATGTGGAAATAATCATCTTAAGTGAACGATTATGGTGAAGTATACATTATATAATCTGTTTGTACACAGAGTGTGGTATTGTGTCGAGCAGTATGAGGGCAAGTCTCCAATGTGATAGTTTTAGTGACATATCTTGTATATTAAAGCTGCCTGGCAGCCACTCGGCCAGATGAGGCATTAAGATCAACCTGTTCCCAGCCTGTTCACAACCTGTTCACAGCCTGTTCACAACCTGTTCACAACCTGTTCCCAACCTGTTCCCAGCCTGTTCACAACCTGTTCACAACCTGTTCACAACCTGTTCCCAGCCTGTTCCCAGCCTGTTCACAGCCTGTTCACAACCTGTTCACAACCTGTTCACAACCTATTCTTAACTTACAGCAAACAATGTAGCCTCACTTAACTTGATCTAATAATATATTAGTCATAAAATATTTATTAAAAGAAAACATTTTTGTTAAATTTTAAGTTTCCATTTGTTACTGTTTATTGTACATTATTATTATTATTATAATTATTATTATGATTTCTGCAGTCTCAGCACTTACCACTCACTGCTCATTCTCTGTCATGTGAATGTGCCCTAAGTTATAAAGAAATTTGACATCGCTGCTCTAGAGATAAAACGAAGTGTACTTAATAGTGTATCAGATGTTATTAGGTTAAACACATCTTGAATGAATTGAAGCTGACGCTACTGACCTTGACTATGCTTGGCACTCTACTAATCAACTCCATAACTTAATTTAACAACTCTACCAGACAACTCAATAACTTAATTCAACAACTCTACCAGACTAACCACTCTACCAAACTACTCCATGACTTAAATTAACAACTCTACAAGACTAAGCACTCTACAACTCTAACAACCCTATCAGGCTAACATCTCTACCAGACAATACCATAACTTAATTCAACAACTCTACCAGACTAACAACTCTGTCTTCAGTAAATTAATTGAACAAAAGCGTTTTCAGATTTCCAGCATTAGTGTGTGTCTTTTTTTTTTTTGGCAGGTTCATCAACTCAACAGATCTAAATTACCACATCGAAGGCTTACGTCCCTACACAGAATATGAATTCATGGTCAAGGTCATCAAAGGTCGCCGTGAGTCAGACTACAGCATGACCGTCACCAACAAGACGGAGGAGTTTAGTGAGTGGTCAATTTTTTTAACTCCTGAACATGTGGATTTTTGACATAGCAGTGATATCCGTGGATTTTTGACGTAGCAGTGATATCCGTGGATTTTTGACATAGCAGTGATATCCGTGGATTTTGACATGGCAGTGATATCTGTGGATTTTTTACATATCAGTGATATCTGTGGATTTTTGACATATCAGTGATATCCATGGATTTTTACATAGTGATATCCGTGGATTGTTTACATATCAGTGATATCCGTGGATTTTTGACATAGCAGTGATATCTGTGGATTTTTGACATATCAGTGATATCCATGGATTTTTTTACATATCAGTGATATCCCTGGATTTTTGACATAGCTGTGATATTCACTAGTTGTATTTAAGTTAAGCCACTGAACACACATTGCTTGTTTTTTTCACCTGTTGCAGTTATATATTCAGATGTGAGGTGGACGAATTCTGCAACATTTCAAATTAATGAAATTGAATGTGTTCAGTTTAATTGGGAGTTAGTTTTTTTTAGAGACGTGTAACTTGTCGGGGCAATGGAAATATTTAAAAATAAAATCTTGGGTCCACAAAAAGTGTGTTATTTCTAGTCCTGGAATACACCTATGAAAACAGAACGTTTGTGTCTAATTTCAATGAATATAAATTTAGTTACTTGCATTTAAAAAAAAAATAACATTAGTTTGATGGCTGAATGAAATTTTGCTGTTTGGTTTTTACCTAGTACCTGGCTCAGAACCACGTGACGTCACCCCCGTGCCGCTCGAAAACAACCCGCTGGCAGTGAGTCTTAACTGGCAGCCCCCGGCCAAGCCCAATGGCCTGATTACAGGTTATCTGATCTACTACACCAACGACCTGCACACTGATGACATGATGTGGCCCGTGGAAGGTGTGGTTGGGGACAGGTGAGAGAAATAGTCACTAGAGGTAGCAAGGGAAAGGTGATGGGATTAGCTTTTAACTTCACAGGCAATGGAGAAGATAGGGGACGGTGAGAGTGATTGGTGGTTGAGGATAATTAGAGGGGATAGTGGCATGTTTCGTTAGAATTGGGTGAAAGAAGTTGAATTGATGATATTGAAATTGGAAACAGTTATGTATCTTATAATGTTCATTATTATGCCAAGGAAGGAAAAAGTAGGCTATATCCATATATTATCCACAGGGATAGATAAGATTAATTTATCCTGTATATCCATGGATTATCAAAAGTGGTGAATAAGATTAATGAATTATATCCATAGATTATCAACAGTGATAGATAAGATTAATTTATCCTATAAATCCACAGATTATCCACAGTTGTGGATAAGTTTAATGCTTCATGTCCATAAATAGTCAACAGTGATATATAATATTAATTTATCCTCTTATATCCATAGATTATCCACAGTTTTGTCTAAGATTAACAATTTATATCCATAGATTATCGACAGTGATAGATAAGCTCACACCAGACACAAGATACCATTTCAAGGTTCAGGCTCGGAACTCTAAAGGCTACAGTCCCAAGAGTGTCCCAGTTACTTATATGACTCGTCCAGGTGAGTTATTGTTACATACATGACCCATCTGGTCAATGCATTGTAACCAAGTCTTAGTGCCTCCCCTTTGTCTATAGGACTGATGCATATGAGCTAGCAACAATTTGTTCTTTATGTATTTTGTGTAACAAACTAAATCTTAATGTTACAAATACATGTCAAAAAGATATTATTTTGTTCATTATCAATAACCATAATGCTAAGTCAAACAGTGGGATTAATTTAACTAAAAACCACTTCTGTAAAGGCTAAGTCAAACAGTGGGATTAATTTAACTAAAAACCACTTCTGTAAAGGCTAAGTCAAACAGTGGGATTAATTTAACTAAAAACCACTTCTGTAAAGGCTAAGTCAAACAGTGGGATTAATTAAACTAACAACCACTTCTGTAAAGGCTAAGTCAAATAGTGGGATTAATTGAGCTAAAAACCACTTCTGTAAAGGCTAAGTCAAACAGTGGGACTAATTGAACTAACAACCACTTCTGTAAAGGCTAAGTCAAACAGTGGGATTAATTGAACTAAGAACCACTTCTGTAAAGGCTAAGTCAAATAGTGGGATTAATTGAACTAAAAACCACTTCTGTAAAGGCTAAGTCAAACAGTGGGATTAATTGAACTAAAAACCAGTTCTGTAAAGGCTAAGTCAAACAGTGGGATTAATTTAACTAACAACCACTTCTGTAAAGGCTAAGTCAAACAGTGGGATTAATTGAACTAAAAACCACTTCTGTAAAGGCTAAGTCAAACAGTGGGATTAATTGAACTAACAACCACTTCTGTAAAGGCTAAGTCAAACAGTGGGATTAATTGAACTAAAAACCACTTCTGTAAAGGCTAAGTCAAACAGTGGGATTAATTGAACTAAAAACCACTTCTGTAAAGGCTAAGTCAAACAGTGGGATTAATTTAACTAAAAACCACTTCTGTAAAGGCTAAGTCAAACAGTGGGATTAATTTAACTAAAAACCACTTCTGTAAAGGCTAAGTCAAACAGTGGGATTAATTAAACTAACAACCACTTCTGTAAAGGCTAAGTCAAATAGTGGGATTAATTGAGCTAAAAACCACTTCTGTAAAGGCTAAGTCAAACAGTGGGACTAATTGAACTAACAACCACTTCTGTAAAGGCTAAGTCAAACAGTGGGATTAATTGAACTAAAAGTCAAATAGTGGGATTAATTGAGCTAAAAACCACTTCTGTAAAGGCTAAGTCAAACAGTGGGACTAATTGAACTAACAACCACTTCTGTAAAGGCTAAGTCAAACAGTGGGATTAATTGAACTAAAAACCACTTCTGTAAAGGCTAAGTCAAATAGTGGGATTAATTGAACTAAAAACCAGTTCTGTAAAGGCTAAGTCAAACAGTGGGATTAATTGAACTAAAAACCACTTCTGTAAAGGCTAAGTCAAACAGTGGGATTAATTGAACTAAAAACCACTTCTGTAAAGGCTAAGTCAAATAGTGGGATTAATTGAACTAAAAACCACTTCTGTAAAGGCTAAGTCAAATAGTGGGATTAATTGAACTAAAAACCAGTTCTGTAAAGGCTAAGTCAAACAGTGGGATTAATTTAACTAACAACCACTTCTGTAAAGGCTAAGTCAAACAGTGGGATTAATTTAACTAAAAACCACTTCTGTAAAGGCTAAGTCAAACAGTGGGATTAATTTAACTAAAAACCACTTCTGTAAAGGCTAAGTCAAACAGTGGGATTAATTAAACTAACAACCACTTCTGTAAAGGCTAAGTCAAACAGTGGGATTAATTGAACTAAAAACCACTTCTGTAAATACTAAGTCTAAGAGTGGGTTATATTAAATTAAAAACCACTTCTGTTAATTCCAAGAGTGGGGTGTATTGACTAACGACCACTTCTGTAAATGTTAAGTCAAAGGGTGGGGAATATAGTAGAGACCGACCGAATTTCGGCTTTGGCTTCGATTTCGGCACCGAAAAAGGCCATTTTATCACTTTCGGCCAAGTTTTGGTTTCGGCTGAAATTGAAAGTTAAATTTCGGCTTAATTTCGGTTTCGGCCGAAAGAGAAAAGTTAACTTTCTTTTTTTTTCGGTTTTGGCCGAAATTGACTTTGACTTTCGGCCATCCCGACGAAAGTGACTGAGGTTTTCGGTCATCTAATACTCAGCGAAAGCGATATTTAACAACAAACTAAGCAACATTTAAGAACAAACTAAACGATTTTTAAGAACAAATTAAGCGATTGCTAAAAACAAATAAAGTGATCTTTAAAATCAAATAAAGCAATCTTTAAGAACAAATTAACCGATCTTTGAGAACTAACTAAATGATCTTTAAAACAAACTAAGCGATCTTTAAGAACAATCTAAGCGATCTTTAATTAAAAAACTAAACAATCTTAAAGAACAAACTAAGCAATCTTTAAGAACAAAAATGATCTTTAATAGTAAACTAATTGATTTATAAGAATAAACTAAGCGATCTTTAACAGAAAACTAAATGTTCTTTAGGAACAAATTAAATGATCTTTAAGAACAAACTAATCGATCTTAAGGAACAAAATCAAAGATCTTTAAGAACAAACTAAGCGATCTTTATAAACAAACTAAACGTTCTTTTAATAACACAAACTAAGCGATCTTTATAAACAAACTAAACGTTCTTTTAATAACACAAACTAAGCGATCTTTATAAACAAACTAAACGTTCTTTTAATTACACAAACTAAGTGATCTTTAATAACAAATTAAAAGATCTTTAAACAAAAACTAAGCGGTCTTTAAGAACAAACTAAGCGATCTTAAAAAACAAAATAAACAATTTTTAACAACAAACTAAGTGATCTTTATGAACAAACTAACCCATCTTTAAGAACAAACTAAACGATCTTTAACAACAAGATGTTATATTAGATGTTTATTTATTAATATTCACTATTATCTCCTTTTTTTTATAAAAAGAATGTAAATATTTATACTTTCCCCAATCATTTTCGATGTATGCAGAATGTATGCGGGAACGAATTTAAAATATCTAAATGTTTCGGCTTTTTTTCGGTTTCGCCCGAAAGTCATTTTTAAACTTTTGGCCGAAAGTCATTTTAAACTTTCGGCCTATTTTCGGCTTCTGCCCAAATCAGAAAATCACTTTCGGTTGGTCTCTAGAATATTGTGAAAGGTTGACTCTTAAGGGCATTCTGACCTTTGCTGTAAAATATCTGCTATATAACATCTGCTCACTCTTGTTATTTCTTCACCCCAGTCCCTCAGACAGACACCGCCAGTGCTGAGAAAGACAAAGGTCTGACTACCAATGTTATCATCATCATCGGGGCTTGCGCTGCAGGATTTGTGTTCTGCACAGTGGTCATCATCATCATCGTCTGTCTGTGCAAGTGTAGGGGGAACCGTTCAGCCAAGTAAGTCTGTTTACTCAAGACAACTCACTGACTCGATTTGGTGACCTACGTCAGAGATTCCTTGTACTATCCATTATATTGGTGCCTCCTTGAAAGTGACCAGAAATTTCATTTACTGTAATTTGATTTGTTATTCTCTGAAAGTGACCAGAAATTTTGTGTCGGATAATTTAAAAATGTCACTCTCAGAAATTGGTGTCAATCTCCTCAAGACCTATCATTTCTTCATTATTTTATGTAGCGTCCCATAAATTCTTCCATTTCCAGCCAAAACAAAAATCAAACCAAGCTCACAAAGGTTCCACCATCAAACGTCAAACCGCCTGACCTTTGGATACACCAGCCCAGTCACTTGGAACTCCAAAAGATGGAGAGGTCTAATCGCAGTGAGAGCTCAGCATCTGTTGCCACTAGCACCTTGAGACGTGGCTCCCGGGGGTCAGCTGACCAGACAGATGACCAGGCCTCAACGCTGGACAGAAGACGGAATTCGTTTGTTGGTAAGAAGAAACTTTTTTTTAACATCTGGGGGGAAATAAATTATTGTAACATCTAGAACTAAAAAATAATGTAACATCTGGAACAAAAAAAATAGTGGAACTAAGAAATAGTGTAACGTCCGGAACAAAACATTGGTGGAACTTAAAAAAACAGTATAACATCTGGAACATAACAATAGTGGAACTAAAAAAACAGTGTAACATCTGGAACAAAACAATAGTATAACATCTGAAACAATTTAACTTTTGTATAATCTTATTCCCCTTGTTCTTCCTTCTATCAGATGACCGGGGCTACCCCTCCAGTGGTGAGGAGAGATACCAGCCCATACAGCCACGTAATCTCATACGTCCCAAGCCTGTCACACTGCCACCAGATGCACAAATATCTTTTAGAGAACGTAAGTTTTTAGCACATATATATGTGTATCTATTATCTTACTCCATTGACGAAAATTCAATATGAGTTTGTATTCATTTGTGTTGATGATAAGGAGGCTGTATGAATTTGTTTGATTTCAATTGTTGGATGAAATGTCTATGCATTATGTAATGCTTTCGGTTCTGTTAATTAAAAAATGCAAATTTTCATTTCTAGCATTGTCTAGGATTTTTAAAAAAATAAAAAAATGTTTATGTAGACCATCTTTATCATCGTATATGCAATGGATGATGAAACAATAAGATCTCGTGAAATGAAATTACTTAATTAACAATTTTTACCTTGAGAACAGGACAGTAGAATTGTGTTCTTAAATTTACCTGAATGCCCCTTAGCTTTTTCATAAACAAAAGATCATGGAAAGAGGAAATAGTTACCTCTTTATGAATCAGCTATTTCATAAACATAAGGTCATCGAAAGAAGGAAATAATTACCTCTTTATGAATCAGCTATTTCATAAACATAAGGCCATCGAAAGAAGGAAATAGTTACCTCTTTATGAATCAGCTATTTCATAAACATAAGGCCATCGAAAGAAGGAAATAATTATCTCTTTATCAGTCAGACTGCCCATCATATTTTTTTGTAATATTGACAGCTCTGTAAACATTTTTATTTCAAAATAAAATGAACAAACCAAAATGTGTGACTTATTCCCTTGACCTCCACAGCAATAGCCACAGTGACAGCAGCCCCTAACGGCCACATACTGCAGTATGGGGACAATCCAGGTGGCCAGTTGCCCATGCGTCCCATCTACCCGCGGACGCAGTACAACACACAGTACACCAGCGCGGCAAGGGTGAACGCCGGAGACTTGCCACACACTTGCCCACCAACCAGTAAGGGTGTGTTACATTGCGTGGCAAAAAAATATTACACAGAGAGTGCAATGGAAGCAAACAAAAAATTTTAATATTTTTTTTATTGATACAAGGCATCAGGTTTTATTTTTATTTTAATAAACAAAATTATTACACTTTAGGTCTAGTGCTAGTGCTACAGGCAGTGCTAGTGCTACAGCCAGAGTGCCCAATAATTTATTGCAATAAACAAAATTATTACACTTTAGATCAAGTTCTGGTGCTACAGCCAGAGTGCCGAATAATTTATTTAAATAAACAAAATTATTACACTTTGTCTTTAGATCGAGTGCTAGTGCTACAGCCAGAGTGCCCAATAATTTTTCTAAATCTTTTTGGGGGGAAAATTTAGTTAACATTGCAGGAAGTTTTGGATTATCAGAGTATTTTACTATTACAAAGGTCAATTTAGAAATTAATTGCATACATAATGGATGTAATATTCAATACTGTTCAAAACTGTTTTTTGTTTTGTACATTTATATTAATAAACATTGTAATAAATATTTTAAAAAGTTTTAACCTTCCAAAGAATAAATTTATTTTAGCTATAAATTATAAATTTGGTTTTAAAAAAAATTATTATAATAACTTTTACGAAGGTAAATGTTTAAAACTTGTGCATAGGACAAAAAAAAATGTTGAAGCTTGTACATAGAAATTAATTATTTTACTATTGTGGGAAACATTTAATTTTTACACTGAAACCAACTTTTATTTTGTTTTTCTGCATCTTGACATTACTTGACTGTTTTAATGAATCATAATTTTCTTTGCTTATATACACACATACTCCTGCTCCAAAGTTATGTGTAGCCAACATTTATTTTATTTGTGTTAAGTAACAAAATAACAGCATTGCATGTTATCTCATATATTCCACCAACTACCACAATTTGTTTTAGCCAGAGGTTATTTATTTGTGTTCCTTTCTTCCTTCTCACAGTCCACTTTAGTGCAACACTGCCTAGTTGTAGTGGGTATTCCCGTTTATCAGCTGTTTTGTATAATAGTTGTGTGGTAATTGTTTTAGGGAAATTCCTATTTCTGTAGAATTTCTTAGAATTTGGGGACCTTAGATACATTTTGATCTCTTGACTTTGAAGTATCTTAGCGATGAAGTGACCCATTAAATTCCAAATTTTATGTGTCTTAACCAGGGGCATAAAAATATATCGAAAACCACACAATGACAAGCTTTTCAACATCAATGTTTATTCAAAAGTTATAATTGGAGAATCAAACATTGAAATATTTTTTTAAATAAACGTTCCATCAACTCATTATTTTTGTGACAGACTTTTCCCTTGTCTTGTTTCTCGTAACCCCACCCTCTCCCACTTAAAAAGTCATCCATATTTGTTTAGTAAGGAAGAATTTACTTTAAAATTCTAACAGCATGTTTGTGCATTTTTGTGTTTGCTTGTGTGCTTCCAGGCAAAATTCTGTCCGCTGTGGATGAAGATGACCGTGACGGTAGCATTGAAATGACCGGTGGCATGGATGAGTCGTACAACTCAAGAATCGGATATGGTTTGTCTACCCCTTAGCTTTTTAATCCTATCTTGTACTTGCATGGCCGTCTGCTGTCTTTATTTTATTGGAAACACCTTGATCCCATGTTGGGGTGAGGGGAACAGAAGTAGCCCCCGCCCCCCAACAAGACTGTTTTAGCAGGGAGGGGAACAGAAATAACCCCACTACAAGACTTTATTTAAGATGAGGGGAACAAAAGTAACTTCCCTTCACCTTACCCCCTCCCTCCAACCAAAAAAAAATGAGACTATTTTTAGGGTGGGGGGCAGAGGTAAACACACCCCCCCTCCCCAACAAGACTATTTTTTGCTTGTACAAATATTTATTGAGGTCATTCAGCTTGCAAAGTGATTTTTGGTATATAGGGTTATAAAATATGAATTATCGGTTATAAAATATGAATTTGAACTTATAATAATCTACAAAAACTTATGCTTAATTTTTAGTGAAATTAATACTTCAGTTATAGAGACGATGCAATGATTAAAAGTCTAATTTATTAAAATGTAAAGAAGATGATCTGATGTTAACATTTTAAGATGAATTATATTTTCGGAAACTCAGAAAGTCGTGCTGATTTTTTTTAGTTAGTTTTTTTCTAAATACAAATCCTACTGATTTTGCTCAAAAATTTTTTTATCAGTACTATGAAAACTCCTTTGAAAAATTAGGGTCACATTAGAAACAAAGAGGGATGAAACAAATATGCATGCTCATTTATTATTCTTAGATTTGATTCAGTCAGTTGATATTCCAAACATGCAAATACCAGTCTTATATTTTTATTATATGTTGCCACATAACTTGCATGACGAATGAGACAGAAGCACACCCTTGCTGCATGATAATCAGTAACATCATTATTGCAGTGCATCCTTACATAGCACACTTAATCAGCTTGAGCTTTAGTTAACATGTGATGAAATCTTTGTTCCAGTGAAACCACAGCAAAGTATAAGCCCCTACAAGAAGCCCACGGCCCCCGTCATGTCGACACCCAGCAAAGGGCAGAGAACTCCCATCTTCCACTCTAAATCTCCAGATCTGAAAAGCAAAAAAGATGAAGCAGATTTGTCTGTAAGTGTTCATAAATAGTTTTCATTGATCCTGCTGCTTTTATAATTTAAAATTGTATAATTGCCTTCTTTTCCGTCTTTTACAAACATCTCTCACTATTTATAATTAAGATATGTTTTCCGGACTGATACAAACTATTGAAAATCTTTAAGTGTGTTTGTGGAATATTATGTATGTTATTAAAGGGATAAAAAGGGATATACATGGAATAGAGAAATAAGATAAATTCCCGCCATTAACTGTTATACTGGATGCTTCAGTTAAATTTCACGGCTTATTGCATTCACATTTCTAAGCAGAATCTGTTACAATTGCTCAACAATCCAAAGTCCCATTTGAGTCTCACTTCAAAACCTAAAAACTTTATTGGTTGGTACCTAGAAATGCTGAGATCAGTAAATGTAAATTTCATCCTTACAATATTTGATCATCAAAGATGAGAGGTGTTGATCTCAGAGTTGTTTGTCTTGTACCCACAGAAGTCACTGAGTACGGAGGAGCTGACAGCAGAAATGGCCAACTTGGAAGGCTTGATGAAAGATCTGAACGCAATCACACAGCAGGAGTTTGAATGCTAACACTGGATCAAAGGAAGGGAGAGAAGCATGCCAAGAGAGAGAATGCAAGTGTGGAGGCTATACTCAAATTCATGGCACAGTAAAACAGAATATATTTACTTGTCCAATTTTTATTTTACGGAGGGTTTGGGGAGTGTATTTTAAACTGAGGGAAATACCTTATTTTACATCACAAAATCAGTTGTTTTAAATGACAATTTACTGAACACTTTGAATGTAAGAAAATCTTACAAAATGGATGAATATATATTTTGTTTGCAAAATGAGATTAAAGAGGCCCAGTACTGCCAATGTGGCCGTGTCATAAGTCTGAGGAAGTAGGTTGAACTTAATTTTGAAAGCCTGGCCCAGGGTACCAAGTCATCATGCTGGGTGTTCAATAACACATTTATCAGTGCCTCATCATTGCCCAATGAGAGACCATGAGTGAGCCTGATGTTTGAATGAAGGGGCAACTGTTGCTGGTGAGTGGGCAAATGTGTATCTTGCAATTACATTATGAATGGAAGCAAAGTGTGTGTAAAATGTGGATGATTTTTTTTAATGTATTAATTACAAAATAATTTTTTGAGTGCACAGAGTTAGTCATAACCCTATTTTTACATGATGCCATGTCAGCAAACCTACAACGCTGATTGAATGGGTTTGGTAGGAAACCTACAACGCTGATTGGATGGGTTGGTTGTGTATTCTCTGGGTTAGAGCAGTGACATATCATTCTGTAATTTGTTTTTTTTTTACAATTCTTCAAATGTCAACACAGTTTTAGTCATTTTTTTGTTTTTTCTTTTGTATTCATGAGTTTTTGTACCATTCTTTTGATAGTATATCCCGAGTTCGACTCAGTATCCATTGTCATGGGACAGATTGAAAAGAAACTTTGCAAACCAAAAAAAATATTTGAAGTTTTTTCTTTATTTTAGTTTCATTTTTCTAGTCTAGATATGAAACAGAATAATGGCAATAGTTTCAATGTTCCTAATGACTGCCTGAGGATTCTAGAAATGTGTGATGAAATACTCTCTCTCTCTCCCCCCTCCCCCCATGCTCCATTCTCAACCTTGATGATGGTGTATGAAGTACACAGTACAGGGTATTCATGAACAATTCCTACAGTTGTTTGAGGAAAATATAGATAAATTTTTTTATTTTTTTTTTTAAAAGCACATTTGGGTTAGTATTCTATGAATAAACCAAAAGACACCAAACGAAGGGCATTGAATGTTTGTTTAATTAAACTAACTTACTTGTATTGTAAGTCATAAATATAGTGTGACATTGGTGTGTGCACGATGTCAGTGATTTAAAACTTGATCTGTTCATTTGTAGTGTCATTTCACTGCTGCATTTATCTGTAGGTTCCCTGAAGTTTCTCATCATGACTTGTAAATACACCAGCACTCTTTGGGATTGTGTGAAGTAGTCTGTGTTTAAATTTGGGATTGTGCGAAAATTGTCTGTGTTCAATTAAACAGTCATGGGGGTTGTGTGACATTGTGTTTAATTAAGCACTTGCCAGGGTTGTGTGACATTGTCTGTGTTGAATAAAACACTTACTGGGGTTGTGTGACATTGTATCTGTTTATTTTAAATGTAAAGGAAACTTGATACCACCCCTAACTTCCCCTTGAAATATGATGACCCACCATTTTCCATTCATCCCATCCTTCTTTATATCATCTTCAATTTTTGGGAATGGGTTCAAACTGACCATTAACGCAGACAAATTTTGGGGTCAGTTTTTTATTTATTTTTTAGTGCAAATCATTTCCCATACTCGAAAACACCCTATGAAAGAAAGCCCTTCTCCTCAGATTATGGACAAAAGACTTGGGTATAACTATTTGGTCGTTTATCATATAGTCCATCTGTGTGTGAATTATTTGCCTAACACTAATACCATGGTGTTGTAAAACACAATAATGATTTTCTGCACCCTAGCATAACATGCTCTTCAAAGATATAGCACAGGGATATTTTATTATATTAATACATAAGACTGTTATGTGGACTGTCTACGAAATAGACACATTTTTAAACAAACGGTTTTAGCCAGTGGTTTCCTGAGTGTATTTCTCAAAAGTGAAACAGTGAGTTTCATTTAAGCGTTTTGCTAGAGAGTAAGAAAAAAATATTTAGTCACCCCCAAAAAAAAAAGATCCGTTAACCAAAAAATATTTAGTAATCCCAAAAAATCTAGTTAACCCTTTTTTAAACAACTGGGATAACAGCTGTAAAGTCTTTCTATATCAAAATCATATAATTTATTGGGAAAATTTTTTTGTTTCAATGATGGGATGAAAGGAAAATTTATAGATATTTGTTTCATTGCAAAAAGTTACTTCTATTTTTAAATAAATTTAATTACAACACATTGTATGTTACTATGTTGTTTTTTTTTAAATTAATCACAACACATTGTATGTTAATTTTATTTTGAAATAAATTTAATAACAAGACATTGTATATTATTCTATTTTTAAATAAATTTAGCCACGACAAAATTGTAGGATCAATAGTAATGTGTGTAACCATTACCTCTTCCATGTAACTGATCATCACAGATAATTTATTTGTACTTAACATGACCTGAAGCCTCGGGTTTGTGAATACCACTGGACTGTAGATACCCGGCTTCAGGACAACTGCAGCATTTTTTCATAGAAGATAATCAGCATTAGTGACCACTGTGGATTGCTGACATCTCTATTTGTGTTTGTATGTGTGTGTCAGTGTCCTCTGTCAATAGGTGCATGTTATTTATTTTTGTTTTTACACATTTACGCAACTTATGTCATGGCAGTAGTGTGCGAATCAAAATTTAGTTTTGAAAAGTTGATTTCTATGTAATTTTTATTTTTCTTTGTGCAGATTTTGGTGTATTTTATACAATGTCAACAAAAATGAAGTTACACATAAATATTTTTGCTAATGCAAATTAAAAGACCTATTATTTTGCAGTGAACATTTCTCATAACTCCACAAAGGGACATAATTTTGTAGCAATATAGGGTACGAGTTACCTGGAATGGTTGTGCTAAAAATTTCAAGGGAAACTATTATTTCACCCTCCTTAAAGTTACATGCACTTTCAATGAGCAACATGAACTCTCTTAACCTACCAGGTGGCCCACTACTGTGGTACCAGGTGAGCCACTACTGTGGTACCAGGTGGGCCACTACTGTGGTACCAGGTGGGCCACTACTGTGGTACCAGGTGGGCCACTACTGTGGTACCAGCAGTTTAAATATTTTATTGTTTCTAACACTGTAACGTTAAGTGCACTGATGTTGCAATTAGACCAGCTTTGCTCCTCCTATGAGGAAATAACAAGATACCTAGGATACCTTAGGATAAAAAAGTTGATTTTGTTTTTATCCTCGTGGAACAAAACACACACATAAAGTAAAAACTAAATTTGCACAAGATCCAAGTTTTATATGATCTCATCAAATGATCACTTGATTCTTGTCACTTCACACTTCGCTTTGATGTTCACCTACGGACTGGAAATTAACAATATTGAAAACGAGAGTTCTTGAAAACTAATGCATGCTTTTTTATAAAAAAAAACCTTTGAATAGTCTTGATTGAAATGTTATTAAGATGTATTTATTGTCACTTTTCATTCAATTCAAAAGTTCCAAATGGAAATAAAAAAAAAAAAATAGAGAGACCTCTACCTGAAAACAACGGGATTTATGAATAGCAACAGATGGAAATTGTGCAACTGTATGTCCTGGCATGTTTTCAACAGTAAGGTGAAAGAGCAACATATGGAAATTGTGCAACTGTACGTCCTGGCATGTTTTCAACAGTAAGGTGAATACTATTTTCTCAAGTTTTGGTAATAATGAATTTGTTTTTCATACAGATGTTTTTAACACCGGCATAAAAAAGCTTTGCTTTTTTTAGAATAGGCCAGTAGTTTCAGTAATTAATACATTTTTTTTCTTATTGTCTTCGGGTAGTTTGTCCAAAACTTGTGAATTGACTAATGTGTTGTGCTGTCAAGGTACAATTTGAGACAGTCATCAATATATCCCTCACTATTAACCAATGTCTTATTTTGTGCTAAACATGCTTTTGGGTTGTGTACCGGGAGTCCCATCAAGTCATCAAGCTCTTCAAAAACAAATTCATCCAAAACGTATTGTAAAAAATTGTTGAAAATAATGTCTTCATAATGATTAATTTCCTTTAAATCAAACAATTCAACCCCCACCCCCCCGCCCCCCTCCCCTAAAAAATTTTGTCTAGATATTCTTGCCAGCTGTGAAATGAACATATTGTCCTAAATTTGATTAATAATGGATGAATTCAGTTTAACAAATTTTTTGTCTGAAAACTTGTTGGCTCCAGTGTCCTGAATAGACAATGAGGAG